TGGCGGAGTTCCTTGACCGTCGAGTCCCTGCTAATGTGAATCCAGTTGGTGGGGTTTTCTCATTTGACGTCCTCATCGATCGTGGTACGGGCCTCCTGTGTCGGATTTATAGACCGGCTACCGGTGAAGAGCCTCAGCTGAATATTGTTGACCTTGAGAAGCCTGTTACAGCTGAGGTTGTCCCTGTTATAATTTTCTTTCACGGGGGAAGCTTTGCACATTCCTCAGCGAATAGTACTATATATGATAATCTGTGTCGGATATTGGTTGGTACCTGTAAGGCTGTTGTGGTCTCGGTGAACTATCGGCGTGCTCCTGAAAATAGATATCCATGTGCTTATGATGATGGGTGGACTGCTCTTAAATGGGTTAACTCTAGATCATGGCTTCAAAGTCGGAAAGATTCGAAGGTTCATATATATTTGGCTGGTGATAGCTCCGGTGGTAACATCGCACACCACGTAGCTCTGCGAGCTGTTGAATCAGGAATCAATATATTGGGAAATATATTGCTCAATCCTATGTTTGGTGGACAAGAAAGAACTGAATCCGAAAAGCGTTTAGATGGGAAGTACTTTGTTACACTACGAGACAGGGATTGGTATTGGAGAGCCTTTCTCCCCGAGGATGCAGACCGGGACCATCCTGCATGTAACCCGTTTGGTCCCAATGGTAGAAGTCTCGAAGGAATCAAATTCCCGAAGAGTCTTGTGGTGGTTGCTGGCTTTGATCTTATTCAGGATTGGCAAATGGCTTATGTTGAAGGGCTCAAAAAGGCCGGCCAAGACGTTAAACTTCTATATATGGAACAGGCTACGATCGGTTTCTACTTGTTGCCAAATAACAACCACTTCCATTTCGTTATGGATGAGATAAGTAAATTCGTGAGTTCTGACTGTTAATAGAATTAACCAACTGGCAGCGGTGTACGAAAGGAGCTTGACAGTCCACTAGTGGCCAACACTAAGTTTGCAGTTCACGGTACTACTGATCACTATAATATTAATCATGGTGTTATTGATCTCTGCTTATTTTGCCTTATATGGTGGTGAAGCGGTATTTCAGCATGTAGCTGGACCACTAATTGTTCCGGTCTGCATTCAGTGAAGTTCACGGCGATTATAGCCTTTTTGACTACGTTTGCAGATCTCTAAGTGTTACAAACTCCGACAACATGCCCCAAAGGAGAAGATTCGGTACCCGATCAAGGGATCGGTGTACCCAGTTAATGTTATATATGTTTTAGAACATGGATTAGAAAAGTTCCACTGTGTTGTGACCCTGTATGTCTATACATATCACGTGTTGGTATATAAAAGGATGTTTACGTGTATCGGTTTTTTTCGCCTACTGTTATTAGATATTGTCCCTGTTTGCCACTTTACTAGGAAAGTGTAAAAATACAGCTATGATTTATAAGATTGAGAAATTTTGGATTACGTATTTCTGGCTTTATACTATTGAACCGTACAGGTTCCATGGGACTGATGAGAAGAACTTATGTTTGCTTGTTTGATTAGCTTCAAGTTAACCTTGTTGCGTGATTGGTGTTTTGCTTCAGTATGAACATCTAAAACGACAAAATCAGCTGACGTTCGATCCCGGGAAGATAGTTTCGGAGACGACTGAACGAGGCACGAAATCTGGCCTCCATTCCTTCCATTAAATCCAACCAGGACAAAGGGATTTTAGTAGTCCCCCCATGGTTTGAGATTGGGATTGATTTTGATGCATTCTCTTGTCATTTCTTGGATGTTTGTTTATGAAGCTGCATACAAAAATAAAGAAATTGGCTTGTTTGCAAAGGGAAATCAAAGCACACATGCATGCATATACAATGGTGGTTGCTATTTGGATGCATTAAAGGGGACCACCTTGAGAAGGAACTTGCATCTTCTTTTCTAAGCTGTTAGGATTTTGCTTTCATGTTGCTACAAGAATATTTACATAAATGTTGAAAAACAGCTCAGCCTTTTGATAAAGACATCATCAAGCCTGATTTAATTTACTTTCATGAACCAATTAAAAATAGGAATAATGTCAAAAAAAATGCCCCTATTGTTTAGTCATTTTAGCCCCTATTCTTTTATCGATATTTTTTCTCTCAATATTTAATTTTAAAGCAAAGGCACCTCTATGGATGAAAACCATTAGGTAACAAACAATTAACATTCTAAAATAGGGGTATTTTTATCTTAAAATCAAACGTTGAAGGGTGAAATGCTCGAGAAAAAGAAAATAAGAGTCAAGGTGACTATTCGCTCAAACATTAGGAGTCTTTTTACACTAATATGAAACGTTGTGGGGAGGGGGGGACAAAATACTTTAAAAAATAAGAGTCAAAATGATTATTTTAATAAACGTTTGAGCAAAAATTTAATATCATTTCCAGGGTTTTAAATTGCATTCGCGGTCACAAAATTTTAATATCATTTCCAGGGTTTTAAATTGAATTCGCGGTCACATTTTCGCTCGCGTCGCATTTATCACGATTGCGGACATAACGGATGTCATTGCGGTCATTGCAGTCGTGAATTTTTTTAAATGTCGCACAACTTTCCCTAAAATGACTAAAATAAATACAATTAAAATAAAATTGTAAATTAAATTGCATAAATTTAGATTACTAAAATTAAGACTAAATTAAATAAAAATTAAAGTTTACATTTTAAACTAGGAATTAAATTATAAATTCTAAAAGTGAGAGGGATCTCAAATTAATATTTCTTTTAAAATTATATTTTAAAAATTATAAAAAAAAGAAATAAATCTCCCATTCCCCGACCTTCCTTCCTCCCTTCCCCGATCTTTCTGGTTCTGTCTCCCCCTTCCTCCTTTCTCCCATCATTGTCTGAAACAAAATGATTCTGCCCCCTTCCTCCTCCCCTTCCTCCTTCCCCCATCATTGTCTGAAAAAAAAACTGCGCCAAGGTTGAATATGTTGTTGCATCCCGTTATCGGCGCAATCGTCCGTTTCCCGTTAAATTGCAGGCGCAATCGACCGCGATTGGTGTGAATTCGTGACCCACCGCAAAAACAATAAAAATCGGTTTCGGCTGGTGGTGCGACCCGCAATATCACGGCCGCTATCACGTTTTATATATATATATATGGAACGCTATTTAATACCCTGATCATTTCTAAAAAATATATGGGATTATCATGCATAAATTAATTGGCTAAACAAAAAGATTTGAGTTTGGTTTTTGATTTGTTTTCTAGTCATGTGCTCGACTAGGATAGCATTTGTGTCATTTGAAAATTTTGATAAAAATTCCAACTTGATTATGAATGGTTTCCCATACAAAAGTTCTTAATTTTACCTTTCTAAAGTTGATCCCTTTTCTCCAACCTGGATGATACTATGTTTCAGAATATAAAAATGTCTAGTCTTTGGAATAATGATTTCCCATCCCAACTCCCATACCATTTACTTTGAGAGATTTATGGTAATGAAGGCCTTGAATCTTAAAACATTGATGTTCAGTCAAATATTATCACAGAATTATCCCTTTATGATGACCTTGGAGAAAGTTACAGTGCCGGAAACAAAGATCGTGAATAAAGGTGTAAATGAATAGAGCGTTCAATGAATTTATAAATCATTTGTACAATGTTCATTTACGTTTGTTTATCAAGTTAAATAAACAAGTATGAACAAAATTTTTATATTCATTTAATAAACAAACAAACAGAAAAAGGTGTATCTGGATTGTTTTGTTCACGAATAAACTCATTCGAAAGCTAGTTTATTGACTTGTTTATCTACTCATTTATAAGCTCATTTATCTTGTTCTTCTATTTTTTTTATATTTTAAATATTGGTGAAGATAAGACTAAAATGGACATAGGGTGAATTCAGAGTTCAAACTGTGAATCCTAAGGAGCTTAAAAATTATTAGCGTAATTTCACTATTTAATTATTATTTTTTATTTAATTAACTTTTTTGAACAAATCGTGAACACTAAACGAACTGAACACGAACAAAACCTTATTTATTCAAGTTCGGGTCACTTACACCCCTAATTGTGATAGTGATTTGGGCAGGGTAAGATTGGATGAAGGTAAAAAAAGTGAGAGACAATGTTGTCTACCATCTAAATAAAATAGTTGAAATGTAATTCATTTGAGCACAATTAAGTAACAAGAAAATAGATTCTTTGGGTTAAATTACAACAACAAAACAAAACCCAATTCCCATATGCAATGGGGTAAGGGGGAGGTAGGGTAGTAGGCTGCCCCTAACGCCAGGTTGAGAGTAGCTTCCGTGGAAGACCTCCGGCAGTCAGAAAATTAAAATATAGATAAAATCAATGCATGTATAAATAAATACATAATACATAGTTGAACAGTATTCATATGCATCATTAATATCATATGCGCGTTTGTAATGGCAGTAATCCTTGCAAATAAATCCCTGCGAAAAAATCTCTGCATATAGACAGAAACGTAAGACCCGACTAAATTTAAAAGTGAAGAGAATGTTACACAGAAGTCAACGATAGCAAGCCCAGTTCTAAGCCTTCATAAATACCAATAACAGAAACGTATAAAAAGTAGAAGTCATGGAAATTACTACAAAGGTATTAAAAGAAGAACAGAGATGAACACCCTAGAGATGTGACCCACACTACTCGACTACCCTAGTCTTAAGTCCATACTTTCCTATCAGAGGTCATGTCCTCGGTAAGGGCTAAATCCATCAAATCAGATCTCAAGCAGTCTTCCCACTTCCGCCTTGGTCGTCTTCTCTTTCTGGCACTGTTGATTGTAATCGAATCTACCCTCCTGACCGCATCCGACGGTAGTCGCCTAAGGACATGCCCAAACCACCGTAGTATTCCCTCCCTCAATTTTTTGGAAACAGGCACCACCCCAAAGGACATCCTAATAGCAGAGTTTGTTGTCATATCCCACAGAGTCCTACCACATGTCCATCGAAGCATTCTCATTTCTGCGGCCTCTATCCTCCTTACATGATTCTTCTTGGTTGCCCAACATTCTGATCCATACAACAGCCCTGGTCTTATTGACATTCTATAAGATTTCCCTTAAGTTTTAGAGGCACCTTCTTGTCACACAAAACTCCAGTAGGCCCTCCACTTTAGCCATCCCGCCTTTATACGGTGTGTAACATCATCTACACCCCCATCTTTATGTATCATAGACCCTAGGTACTTGAAACATCTTTGAGGGGGAGAACGTGTCCTTCTATGCATCTTCTACATCTTCATCATTTTGGTCCCCACTGAAGTTTGAACATAAATACTCTGTCTTTTCAATATTGATCCTTAGACCTTTTTCTTCCAAAGCAGTCTTCCAGGTAGCCAGTCTACTATTCAACTCAGATTTTGTTTCATCAACTAGGACAATGTTGTCAGCGAAAAGCATACACCATGGTACACCGTCTGGTGTCGCACAATAGATGTCGTCCATAATCAAGGCGAAGATGTAAGGGTTAAGAGCCGACCCCTGGTGGAGTCTGATTTCCACCGGGAATACCTTGGTGTCGCCAACTGTAGTCCTGACGTGTGTAGTAGATCTATAATACATATCTTGAATCGCCCGGATATAAGCAGTTGGGATCCGTCTCGTTTCCAAAGTCTTCCAGATCGTATCTCGGGGAACGCTATCATAAGCCTTCTCAAGGTCAATGAACGCCATGTGAAGATCTCTAGACTTTTCCCTATATTTCTCCATAAGTCGTCGAAGTAGATGAATCGCCTCCGTGGTAGACCTGCCTGGTATAAAGCCAAATTGGTTTTCCGAAACCCTAGTAACTTGTCTCAACCTAGCCTCTATCACCCTTTCCCATAGCTTCATAGTATGACTGAGTAGTTTAATACCTCTGTAGTTACCACAACGTTGAGGATCTACTTTATTCTTATAGATTGGTATCACTGTGGACTCTCTCCACTCCTCTGGCATCTTGGCAGTCTCTAAAATAATATTAAAGATATTGGTCAACCACTTAACTCCCTCTTCTCCTAGGGCCAACCACACAGTGATAGGAATTTGATCAGGACCGACAGCTTTGTCCCTTTCCATCTTTCTAAGAGCCATTTTGACTTTCTCAAACCCAATCTTACTTGTAGGGTAGTCATTGGCCGTAGTATGATGGCCGGCTGACCCATCAACGATACTATCTCTACAGGGAGAGGCACCGTCATTAAATAAGCCAAAGAAGTAACTACCCCAAACCCTCTTAATATCATGATCTTTCGCTAAAAGAACACCATTGTTGTCCTTAATAAACTTAATGCTACCTAGATCCTTTTTCCTATTCTCCCTAGATTTTGCAAGCCTGAAGATGTCGTTTTGTCCTTCCTTGGTGTCTAATCTCTTGTACATTTCCTCGTATGCCTTATCCTTTGCTTTAGCCACCGTTTTCTTGGCTTCCCGCTTTGCCTCCTTGTATCTTTGTTTAGCTCTCGACCTTTCTTCGTCGTCATTGTATTGTAGAAACTCCTTGAAGCAAGTTTGCTTTGTCTTCACCACCACCACGATTCTTTATGTTCCTTGGCCTTCCCTGTCGACAACCCCAGGGTGTTTTGCCCATCTCTCTGATGGAATTCGCCATATTTTTCCATAACAAATCTGCATTATTTGAGTTTGTAGTTCCAAAACCTGTATTAGACAAAACCTTACTCCTAAAGTCATCATCTGTCGCTCAATGTAACTTCTTCCAAAGGATCCTAGGTTTACCCAGTTTAGCCCTCCTCTGAGTGCTCCGCCCGTATGGTACGCAGAACACCAAAACCAACAATTTGTGTTGTGATGCACATGCCTCTTCAGGGGACACCTTACAGTCAATGCAAGCCCATCGATCCCGATTTTGAACCAGGATGTAGTTGATTTGGGTACAATGTTCCCCGCTATAAAACGTAATCAAGTTCGCATCTCTCTTATTAAATAAGGAGTTAGTGACCACCAAATCGTGTGCAGTAGAAAATTCAAGCAACGTACGTCCCTCATCGTTCCTACTACCATAACTGAAACCCCCATGAACACCGTCAAACCCGTCGGTTGCACTACCTATATGGCCATTGAAGTCTCCCCATATGAAAACTCTTTGGTCCTCCGTAATGCTCCTAAGTACATCATCTAACTGATCCCAGAAGCAACGTTTCTCCCCCTCCCCTAGGCCAACGTGTGGGGCGTACACTGAAAGGACATTCACCACTTCCTCTTCTATAATAACCTTAATCATCATGATCCTATCCCGGTATCTACAAACTTCAACTACATTTTCCTTGAGCCTAAAGGATACCAAGATACCCACCCCATTTCTAGCTTTATCTACGCCTGAATACCACAACTTGTACCTATTACACTCTCTGGCGCGAGCCCCTTTCCACCTAGTCTCCTGAATACATGCAAAATCTATTTTCCTATTATTAAGTACGTCGGTCAGCTACAGCAGCCTAGCATTTAATGTGCCTACATTCAACGAGCAAACTCTAAGTCTAGTCTCATTGTCACCACTATGTCAAGCCCTCCCCCTATACGCCCCATGGGCTCTAAAAGAAGGACATGACCTCAAGTAATCATCTATAGTCGAAGCTATGAGAAACTATGAAAAATGAATCCAAAGAAGACAGAAGATGCACCAGAAAACGCTAGAGAATTGAGGGGTACTAAAAAGCCTAGTTGGTTACTAAGTACGATTTTAATTTATTGCTAGTAAGTTTATTAACAATTATAAGATAAATTGTGTAATTAGGTTAATAATAATAATAAGTAAGTTTATTAACAATTATAAGGTAAATTGCGTAAACAGATGTACGGACGTCAATGGATTGAGAAACGAATTTCAAACAATATTTGAATTAACAATAAAAACTATTTTTCTTGGCTCCAAAACATAAAACGATAGTTTTAGAAAATATTAGAATCATGCAAATACTACAAGATCGCAAAAAATTAAACTGAAAATTCTAGAGCTTTTTTTCCCCAAAACAAGATAGTACAATATCTTTATTGACCCCAGAAAAGCCAAAATTCACAAAATCAACTATAATAAAAATTAATCGTTCAACAAAATCAATTCAACAACGTTTAGATCTGACCCGATCTATAACGAACCACAGTCAAGAATAAAAATCCAGTAAAAAGGAAAGAAAAACAACCCTGAATTTAAAGAAAATGAAAGATATTACCTGCGAAAACATATATTTTGAAGTGAAACTAATGAAAAGAACAACAAGACTCGAAAGAAAACGAAGAGTTTGAGCAGCGCAGATGATGACAAGCCCCAAACACAAACAAAGGCTCCGTGCAGTGAAGATGGAAGCAAGACTGAAGTTATTCTTTGGGTTAAATTATTGTTCCCAATGGCCATTAAACCTTAAGCTACATTTCAATTGGAGATTGATGTAATGGCCATTAAATCTAAGTTGCAGTGATGCATGTATATGTACAAGGAAGCATATACCTATTCAGCTAATGCCTTGTACTCCAAGAAACTACCATATCCTAGAAAATAGTAACTTCAGCTTCAATCAAACAGAAATCAAGCTGAAAGAAAACTGATATAATCCGAAAATACTCTTTGCCTCCAAAAGTTCATTCTGCAACCTATCTATATCTTCAGCCATCGATCCGCAGCGACTCTCGATATCCTTCTTTTCCTTCATTAGGTCATGCCATTCAGCCTTCTGATGTGCAAGTTCTGTTTTAGCTTCTTCAAGTATCTTCTCCATCTCTGAAACTTTCAATTTCAATCCAACACCATTCTGCTTCTCCTCATCCAATACTTTCAAACAATTATCCTTCTCATGTGTCAATTGGTCGAATGAAACTCTGATATCACTAACTTCAGATAACAATTCTTCGTTCTTCTTATTATGAGTCCGACATGCCTCAATCATCCTATTGACAACTATCCACAGATCACACACACCTTCTTATGGCTCGAAATGTTCAGTCTCCGCGCTAACTTCTTCTCCAAGAAACTCCTCAAGGAAGTCCACAATCTTGTTCTGCAAATCCTTTAGTTCCTTCTTGTTTGTTTCCAACATTGTTCTAGCTGCATCTCATTCCTCCAATAACTTCTCGATTCTTCCCCGCATATCCTATGACTTGGCCGTTGCCATCTCCAATGGTTTCGAGGTAGAATCCTTCTCCTCTTGTAACCTCTCAAGACTCATTACTATTGCTCTCTTTTCGAGCTCGAGTGCCTTGGAGAGCAAGATTTCCTCCTCCTTCCTCAAATTCAATACAATCTCACTGAGTTCCCTTTTCCAACTCATCAAATTTCATTCTTTGGTCAATTTTCTCTATCTCAATCACTTCCTTTCCCTTCTCGAAAAATTCAATTTTTCTTCTCAAAGTCTCAACTTCTTGGACCAAATCTTCAAGGTTTTTTTTCCATCAAATCTTTCTCATTCACTAATTTAAACTCTTCACCTTCTCCAATTCCTCAATCTCCAAAAGAAACCCATAACATTCCACTTTCAGTTTCCTAATTTCTTCCCCAAATTTCCTCTTGTTTCCCTCCATTGCCAAAATCTTCTCCTTCATCAAGCTACCCTCAATAGGCTGCAACTCAAAATCATTTCTTGCAAAATCCGTTTCTTTACAAGCCAAACTCAACCTTTCTCTCTCACTTTCAAGGCTACATAGTTCATTCACCCTACTATCCAACGCCCCACCCATCTCCTTCATTTGACTCTCCATATAAACCCAAAGCAACCCGTTCTGCAACTCTGAACTCATACGTTTAATCAACTCAGCGCCAAGGGCTTCATTGGCTTGAATCAAGTATTCAATCTGACGTCTATTTTCATAGGCCTGCTTGACAAGCAAAGAGTTAAGAGACTGAAGACTCTGAGCCTTCTGATTAGGGTCGTCCATGGAAGATTCTGTAAAGGTCGAGTCTTTTGCAGGTTCTTGAATTTTTGGAGATGGGTTTTGTTGCTTGGGGCCTTTGTATTTACGGGTAGATTTCTTCTTGGCCATTCTTGGAAGTATGGGAAAAAGGTGGGGTTTTTATGGTGGAGAAAGAAGATATGGTGATAGTGATGAAAAAGGTGTGAAGCAAGGAAGGAGTTCTTGAAAAGATTTAAATTTGGAAAAATCATAAAATATATGATTTGTGAGGGCTTCTATAATAATAAAATCATGTGAGCAAGTGAATGTTGGCATAAGTGGGTGAAATTAAGGAATTTGAGTTTATAAGGATGATTTCGAATTCTATCACCGTTATTTTTTGTGTGGGTAATCTGTAAACTTTTATGTAAATTTCAATTGAGTCTTAGATATGTCCTAACATTGGACTGGGAGAGTAACTCATGACCTAAACTTTATTGTAAAAAAATTATAAAATTATGTGAATGTGATTGCTTTTTAATCCCGGTTTTAAGATTTAATGTTTCAGGTAAAATTTATTTATTTATTTATTTTGAAAGAAATAATTTTTATTTTTAGTTTCAAACAAAAATATAATTAATTCAATTTAAATACATTGTAATTTGTCATTTTCAAATGTGTCTATCATTAATTTTCAGTGTTTAAACGTGTCAAAATCAAATATTATATATATTTTTTATTTTTTTGTAATTGAAGAGTAAATATTTCTTTTAAGTAACATTTTGAGTATTTAACTGTTTTGGTTTAATCAAAAGGAAATTTTTATTTTTTTTATTAAGTATAAATATTATATTATCAAGTTAAATTTTAGTATTTGAATTTATACAAGATAAAAATAATATGAATAATTTTAAGTACCGAATCAATTAATAAATCTCTTTAACTTTTTTAAAATATTTAAAATAAAGGTTTATGATAAAAGTAATATCAACATTTATAGAATCAATTAATAAATCTCTTTAATTTTTTTTTTAATTTTTTAAAATATAAGGTAGTTATATATGTGAAAGGGAATTTACCATTAATTTAATATTATTTTTTATTATTTGCACGAACTTGGTCATCTCAGCAATTAAAGAGATGGTTATTGTTCATATAAATCTTATAAGTCATAGATTCGAACAACCACCTCTATAGAGGTGTTTGAGTTCATTATCAAATAATCTATAAAATAAATACTACTTTATAATCATTTCAATTTAATAAAAAATATGTTTTTTTACTATTTATCATTCTTTTCGAAGTTTGGAATGAATACTAAACATCATATTAATTACGTCACTAAAATGAATTTAAAAAATTATTTATCTTCCTGATATACATTTTGAATAGTATGAAATGATTATAAAATAATATTTATTCAATATTTTGTTAATCTATTGATAACATACACCCTACACAACTACTCAAATACAAATATTTTGATTAAAATGAATTAAATAAACCCAACATAATCTTACTTTTATTTAAAGTCAAATATAAGTTAGCATTGTGCATGCATATATATATATATCACAGGGGTTAGTATCTATGAAGAGATTTTAAACGATAAAAATGAGTGATTTTTTTTTTATAAAAAAAAAACTCTAAACGAAATATCCATGCAAATATGGGAACTTTTAAAAATTTCCATATAGTTTATGCCATTCTCTTTCTGTTGGTTCATCATGAATCTCTTGCTTTATATTCCACCCCCTAAATAAACCTAACCCATTACCATTTCCTGCTTCAATCTTCCTATATGCCTTTTTCCTTTCATCTCTCTGTGTATAAACATTTGAAGCTATAGTGTGTCGTCGACTATGCTGGATTTTGTATGGAATAATGAAGTTCGAACGTTTCTCTCTAAGACTCAAAGGTTCTTCTTCTGTTTATGAGTTTTAGGGACCATGTTTTTCAGTTCTGTTATGTTCATTTCTCAGTATATATATGTTTTCTTGCATGGGATGTTAATGGAAGATGTATCTTTGTTGGAGTGATCAGGGTGATATGGGCAGTAGCCTTGATCGGAAGTCTTGGAGCTTTGATTGCGTTGGTGGATCTCGACGGTGTTCGTCGACCTCATCGGATTCTGGTCGACACGGATGTCGATACCGATGATGTTTTTGCTCTCCTTTATCTCTTGAAGCAAGACACAACACAATTCGATCTGCAGGTACAGTAAACACAGAGTCTCGATCGGAACGTTTCTCCCACGTCGTTTTACACACTGGAATACGGCCGTCGCCCACGTATACGCCTATGGGCTATGACCTTTGACGTAGGCGCACGTGGGGACGAGGATCATTATTCAAAGCAATATACTATATAGTTGTTCATTGTTTATCTATAAAAAAGGTCTAAAAGTGGCTGCATGCTTATCTAAATGTTATCATCTTCCATGGGGTTATGATTGGCAGGCAATTACAGTGAACACAAATGGATGGAGTGATGCAGGGCATGCCATTAACCATATATATGATATTCTATTCATGATGGGTCGTGATGATGTTCCTGTGGGGATTGGAGGTGAAGGTGGCATTTTGCATAATGGCACTATCCTTCAAGATGTTGGTGGCTATCAACCCATAATTGACCAGGTTCAGGATCATCTCTCGAACTTTTTGACTAACCGATAGACGCATGCCACGTGTCGTCGAAAAGCTATATAGTCTGTATATATATATATATATATGAATATAATGGAAACCCCATGATCATAGGTATAATTATGGGTGATGATGAAATGAAGAGAAGGAAGATGTTGACCATTTTTTTTATATGGCAGGGGATGTCAACAGCTGGGGAATGTAGGTACAGACAAGCAATTCCTGTGGCACAAAGAGGACGGCTTGATGTCAATTCTAACTATGGCATTAGAAAAGCTTTCCTTCCACAGGTCCCCATTTCCTTGACTGCAAATCCGAATTATTATTTTTAATGAATACCGTGCCGATCGTACTTCAGCGTTTAATATCTTTCGATTCAAGCTGTGTTTCGAGTTCCATGACATCGTTTTTTCCCCCAACATGACATAGGGTGGCAGGAGATATACTCCTCTTCAGCAACCCACGGCACAACAAGTGATGATAGATGCAATATCTTCAGGTCCCACAACTGTGTTTCTCATGGGTGCACATACAAACTTTGCCATCTTCCTTATGAACAATCCTCACTTGAAGAAAAATGTCAAACATGTTTATGCCATGGGAGGTTCCATTAGACCGAACTGTCCAAAGAGTGACGGTTCGGAAAATTCAAGTGAATGTTCCGATGTCGGTAATCTGTATCCACAAAATAGCAATCCGTACGCTGAGTTCAATATGTTTTCAGATCCTTTCGCTGCCTACAAGGTATTCGTTTGATCATTTTCGTTCAGCATTCATGGACTCGGTTTTATCCGGTATTTGAATCTTTTCGACTGAGCAGGTTTTGCATTCTGGTATCCCATTTACACTTATTCCTCTGGATGCAACTAGTACCATTCCTGTAACTAAGAGTTTCTTCATGGAGTTTGAAAGGAGGCAGGGTACTTATGAGGCAAAATATTGCTTCCAAGCTTTAAAGATTATTCGCGATTCCTGGTTAAGTAACATATTTCATGAGGTAATGTCCCTCGAAATCTTAGTGGTTCGTGCTTCGGATTTGTAGACATTCAACTCACTGATGAAATGTTGCAGCAATATTGTATGTGGGACTCTTTTATGGTTGGCGTAGCATTATCTATAATGCGAAACTCTCACTATCATAATGGAGAAAACGAGTTTGCAGAGATGCGATACATGAACATAACCGTCGTTACCTCGAACCAACCTTATGGAACATTAGACGGCTCAAATCCACTCATTTCAGGGTATTTGATGCCAAAGTTTAATGTACACAAGAATGGGGTTCATAGTGGCCATGTTCAAATGGGAATGCAAGACCACTTTTGCCTTCAGAAAGGAAAAGGACTATGTCAGGTATTAACAGTACATGCTCTAGCTGATTATACATGTAAGTTTTCATGCATCGGTTCTCACATCGTTAAGAAATTCGACGTTATCGTTTGAAAAACACAGCTTCTTTCAACTATGGGATTCATCATCTTACAGAATTGTACAATGCTAACAGGACGGTTACACGAAAGAAGATACCGGAGACGATGCCGTGCGTGTTCTCGTTGCAGTGAAAGCTAAAGAAAATCATGATAAGGGAAGCTCACTTGTGAAACAATTTTATAGAAATTTTCTGCATGTAAGCTCCTATACATATTTTTATCAATAACACCATTATTATGTTGTTTAATTTGATTAATTCACATACAAGTAACCCAAAAATGCTTAAAGGTGCTAGTTTAATGTGGTCAATTTTTGGAACTGAATTGTAGGTTATAAATAGCCCCGAGAGAACTGGAAGGTTTGATATCAGAAGCCAATACCCTTTCCACAAGGAGGTTCTTTATAAACCAGATTTTGGAAAGAGGACGAGGGGAAAACCGACTGTTTTCGACATGGATATGAGTGCCGGGGACTTTCTAGCTCTTTTATATCTCCTCAAGTTACCTGTGGAATTAATCGACCTCAAGGTAGTTTATGTCGGATTGGATTTGCTAGGTCTAACCTCAATGTAGACTGCAGATCTCATGAGTTAAGCATCTGCAACTTTAAATTGAATGAATATGACAATGTTCTGTAAATTATGTTTAAGCATTACCAATGTTCAGGCTTTACTGAAGTTCCTGATGATTTGACATTTCTATGTTCAAATAGGGAATACTGATCAGCTCAACAGGCTGGGCGACTCCTGCAGCCATTGATGTCGTATATGATATACTACATATGATGGGACGCGATGACATTCCGGTTGGTCTTGGTGAAGCATTTGCAGTTGGGCAAGCCAATCCATCTTTTTCTGCGATCGGAGACTGCAAGTATTCGAAAGCTGTCCCTCATGGCAGTGGTGGTTACTTGGACTCCGACACACTGTATGGACTTGCTCGCGATTTACCTCGAAGTCCAAGAAGGTAAATTCTAAATAATACTATGATAACAACAACTCAAAAATGATGCAGAACATGCATGAGCAGAAACAAGTTAAAAATATGTGGCCTACCGGCCTTGTAATGACTTTTCAGATACACAGCAGAAAACTCTGTCAAGTTTGGAGCTCCTAGAGATACCGATAATCCTGAACTCAGGCAACCATCAGCACGTAATGTTTGGAAGTATATAGTGGACTCATTGGATCTAGGAACAAATATCACTGTATTGACTAATGGACCTTTGACTAATTTAGCACATATCATTCTATCAGAGAATGCAAGCTCAGTGATTCAGGTAATTCATATAGATAACAGAGATTTCAGTCTCCTAATGATGGAGTTGATCATATATATATATACATATATTTTCTGATGCAGGGAGTATACATTGTTGGAGGACACATAGGCAATGCCAATGACAATAGTAAAGGAAATGTTTTCACGGTTCCCTCGAATGAATACGCGGAATTTAACATGTTTCTTGACCCTTTGGCTGCAAAGGAAGTTTTCACTTCGTCTGTGAACATCACACTTGTTCCACTTCAGATGCAAAGAAGAGTTAATTCCTTCAAAACGATTCTTCTCAGGATGAATGCCACAGCTCAGACTCCTGAACTTGTGTTTTCACGACGTTTACTTTCGAGACTTTGGCAATTACAACAAGAGCATTATAGATATCATCACATGGTAATTTCAGAAACCTTTAAGCATATATATGGTGATGTTTTAGTTCCTTCCGTTAAATATGATTCTTTGATCTGTGAAGTTTTACAAGTTTCAAATATGATATATTCTTGAATACTTTCAATGCAACTTATGGATGCAAACGAACTCAGATTAGATTGAAACAAATTTGTCTCTTCGCAGGATCTATTTTTGGGAGAGATCCTCGGTGCAGTAATCTCGGCTGGAATTTCACATCTGAACCAGACATTTGTGTCCAAGTCTCTTAAGGTCTCCGCAGACGGAGACCTTAAAACGATAGGAGAGATAACCATTGATGAAGAACAAGGAAAACAAGTGAATGTTCTGGAAAACGTTAATCCGGAGGCATATTATGACCATTTCGCTAGGGTCTTAGGTGATCACAGGCAGTCTGCTGTTCTGGGAAGCTTTCATGAGCAGGAAAGACTGTGGACTTCACGACCCGGAAGTACGAACATCGGTCATAATCAGAAGTTGTAAAAGTTTATTATAATTCAGCCTATCCTTTGAACAGTTTGGACATCCTTTTGAACCAAATTCTACTTGGTGTCCATGAGTTTAGCAACAAATGAATACAGAATGCCTCATAGAAGACACAGTTATGAAATCTTTGCATCAGTATATATCTAATATTATCATGCCCGTCTGTTGGTTCATGTTTCAGCTCTACGCACATAGCATCGTGCTTTCACGCCGTGATTTACGTGAGTACCGAATCATGCTCCTCGGTTCTTCGACATAAACGTAATGGACCATGCCTTTCATGTTTCAATTTCCGAGTGGTTGTATGTCTTACAACTATTACACCATATATATGCTCGTACCGCACACGGTTTTCAAATATGAACTCATCTCGAATGCATGTATCATTCCGGCAACCGAATTTCTACCTGTAGTGCTGAATCAATCATGGAAAACATTGCAGAACATGGTAGGTGACTCTGTTGGGTGATGATAGAACTGATTCCTAAAAAATACTATGAAAAGATGAACAGAAAACCATTTGATATTCTGTCATTACGGCATGTATTTTGGCTTAACTCGCAAGATTACCAGCAAACTAATCAGTGGGGGGGGGGGACATTAGAACAGTTTGACCTGATAAAATAATATATTCAATGAACGTGATGGAGAGATGAGTACTGAAGGGTGATTATGAAAACATTTTTGTACTTTTTAGATAGAAATCACCCCAACAACGTGGGGTTTCCACTCCATTTTCAATGCCCAAAATGCAATAGTAACCACTAATTTATAATGATATATACTGTATGCAACACTGAATGGTCGGTGATAATGTTTATTTGGCCAATGCATTTGTTTCTTTCCTTTGAAGATCTCCATCTACATACATACAGTATTTATCATTTCTTTTAAATTTTTTATAATGGTCAGTGATAATTTTGTGTTCATGTTCATTTATTTATTTTTAAAGGTGTTTGTTCGTTTAGCGTCTACGAACATTTTTCGTTTTAACATTTGGAAATATATTTTATATAAAGAAAATGGTAAAGTTACACCACTAGTACTTAAACACCTTAAGCTTCACAGTTTAAACTCCAAATTTCAGTATATGTTCAATTTAGTTACTATATTCATCAATGTTTAAAATGTAAAAAAAATAAAAAGTAAACGGGATTGTTCATGAACATATATGAACGAGTTGATAAACGAACTTTTTCGTGAACGTAAACGAACCGAACCCACATATGTTCGTTTATTAAATGAACAATAAAAATAATTTATTCATACTCTTTTATTTAGCTTAACAAACAAAATTAAACAAACGTTATACTAGTTTGATGTCACCCTTTTCAGATCCCTATTAAGCCTGTATTAGAATTCAGGTCTCAAAACTCGATCTTCGCTTCATTCGCTTGTATGTTGTTCTTAAAAGATACATAATCGTTTTGATCATGAAATCGAATGATTAAAACAAAAACAAAAACACTGGAGGAAACAGATGGAAGGTTTCATTCACATTCTTTGTCATTGCCCATACACTGGAGATATGATACAAGCTTAAGCTCGAAAATAGATAGAGCCCTTCAGTAGGGCATGTGCCCTACTAAAACTGCAATAATCGAAAAACAACGAAGATAAAGAAAATAATTTTTTCTACAATGCCAAAACTTCATATTTGGTCCCATGTTCTTTCTCTGCAGGTTTATGTCTCTTCGAAGCCGACTATTACATAGGAATCGAACCTCCAGCGGACAAGATCTGTGGTTCAAGCTGCAGTAAATAAGAAGGGAAAATCAATCCATGGAGTTAACAAAGGATTAAAACATGTTTGGATAGAAAGAAAATTACCTGGAACATAGATTCAAGCTTGGTTTTCACAAGAGAATACTCATGCCTAACTTGTTGCAGACATTTGAGACACCTACATAAGACCATCAAAACTTGAAACTTTTCAATGAAATGTAATAATCTAAGGCATAAAATAATCTCACCCTTCGACATTCTGCTCCTCGCAGTAGTGGCGGAACGCGATGCAGGCTTTCTGAACTCTCTGAGCACTAATGCTGTTAATTTGAGAACATTTTACCATGAAAAAAGTATACACGAAGAACAATTTGCATGTGAAATTCATGTAATTAATAAGCTTCTTGCATGTGGTGGAACCCCTATCTTACAATAGGTGAAAATTGATGACTGTAGAATGTAATTTTTACCATAGGTTGGTATAAATTTGGCTTTAACCATTGTAGAAATTGCTTTCCAAACAATCTAATGATCTCATCTGAAGCTAAAATTAGTAACCGAGGTTAAAAGATTGAGAGAGAGAAAAAATTACCTGGAGCTACTACCTTTGAACTGGTGAACATGAGCATCAACCCTTTTGAAATCTATGGTTGGCTGCTCTCTATATATGAAGATCAGAAAGAAACAATGAAACCACATTAAGAAATGGAGAAAATGCATGAATTTTTTTTTCAAAATTTGTTAAGCAAAACCCTCACGGAGAATTTGTCAGTTCATTGAGAAGCCTTTCAGACTCTTCAAAGAAAAGGGTCACCACTTCAACCACAAAATCTGGGTTATTCTCATCTTGAAGTTCTTGAAGTTGGTGAATTGTTCATCCAGGAAACCCTGCACATGGAGCAAGAAAGAACTCATCACTCAACGAAATCTAATATCCAAAAACCAAAGACACAAAGAGTTGATCATATAACAAAAACTAACCTCATGATAGAGTGAGGCTATATAGTCAACCAACCTCCTTTGCAACTGAACCAAATCCATTGCAGCTTGCTTTTAAGGTAATATTTCCCCCCACTTGCAGACCTTATAGAGGACTAATATCATGTGCCGCGTTCAAATGAAATGGAAAGGTGATGGTTGGGCCAAGAAGAATATTGCCCTTCAAAGTGGACTATAAATAATAACTACACTACATGTGAAGTCACACACCTTCCCTTCTTCTCTCTTGTCTTCCCTTTTTCTATTGATTTCTTTTTGTAGTAAAGTACACAAATGATCTCCGATTATAGAAGGATGCTTTATAAAATCTTTTAACTATTAAAAGTTATAAAATTATTCTTTAATTATAGGGTGTTGCTTTGTTGAGTTTCCTAACTATTAAAAATTACAAAATGATCATCCGACAATTCATATGTTCCAAACTCGTCCTTTCTGTTAAAAAATAAAGATCAACTAGACGTTAACTTGTTGGTTGAGATATGATAAAATATGATTCAAGAACTATTTGAGTTGTATTTTGTAGATTAACTCTTCGTTTATATTATGTCGTCAAGCCTGTGCTTGAAGCACTATACAGTCAAGTCAGTGCTTGAAAGCAATGACAGTGCCAATAGACATCATTGAAATATAATTTTATCATATCTCAGTCGACAAGTTAACGTCCAACTCAAACGAATGTTAATTTTTAATGAAAATAATGAGTTTAAAACATATGAATTGTTGAGTGACAATTTTATAACTTTTAATAGTTAGAAACTCAACAAAATAACATATTATAATCGATGGATCATTTGTATATTTTATCCTTTTTTATTCCTCTCCTCTATTTATGACTCCTTTGCCTTATATACATTTTAACCTCATCATTTATGAGCGAGTTGAAAACTCTGAAATATATATACAGAGACGGACGTAAGATTTCATGTTAAGAGAGACGAATTTATAAAATTTTAAGGAAGATAGATCTCATAAAATTTTATGAGCGGCGAAATCAAATTTTCATTCGAAAATACAAAAAAAACATCTAAAGTATATAAGAATTTAAAATTTTTAGAGACGACTGTCTCTAGGTCCATCTCTATGTGTACATATAATAGTATATATATACAATGTAAGGCATGACAAGATACAAAACTTGATGCCATGGATTGACCATGCCATAATTTTGCAGGAGTAATTGTTGCTGTTTCTCTCCCACATCATTTTCATCAATTGTTTATTATTTTGTTGTTTTCCTATGCAAAGTGCCAACCAGCCTAAAGGATATGCCTTTTACTGCCCATTTCAGTTCTACATGATTTATTCCACTCTCAGCTGCAATAAAGTCCAAGGTTTAATTATAGTTGCATTAGGGAAATGATAGCAGGCTTAATATACACTTAAAAAGGTGTTATTGATTTTATTATTTTTTTATTAATAAAATCGATAAAAATTATTAAAAATATTATTATTTCTACTGATTTTTTTATTATTGGCTCTTTACAGGGTTTGGTAAAGAACTACCGGGTTTGTTATTTTTTCTACCGGTTTTATTATTATTGGGCATTTTACCGGAAATGTTAAAAACATTAATGTTTTAGGAAGAAATAATAATGTTTCCGGTAATTTTACCGGTTTTGTTAAAAAATAAATAACAAAATCAGTAGCGTCTTTTCTTAGCCGTATATTAAGGCTGCCGCATTGTAGAACTCCACAGCTGCACTAAAAACAAATATTTTCTCTCACAATCTCTCATTGTTGTTCATTATTAGAATAAAAAAAAAGTAAACTATTATATCTTCGAAGATAATATTCGAAAAAAAATCAATTATTTCGATTATTATTCTTGTTAAACTCGAATTTTCATTTTATGTTATTGTCTCGAGATAAATTTATTCGCATCAACAATTTCATCGACCATCTTACAATAACTAATAACATGGGATGAGAAAAAAACACACACACACATTTTTCAGACCAAATTTGCTAGAAAGTGATGCGAAAACCATGTTGTAACTTTGCAAGAAAATGTGAATTCAATGATAATCGTTATTACATAAGCATATTCATTTCTATCTTACCTCCTTTTCTGGGTATACTATATATTTAGTATCTTAACTATTACTTTTATTATGTTTTTGTAATTCAATTATTTTTTAAATTATATCTAACGTGGTTTTGATTTCATTTTAGTTACCCTCTGTTAAAAAGTTAACAGTGACGCTGACGCATCATCGTTGAAAAAAATAAAGTTATCGTGTCAACAGTTCTATTAGTTTTTTTAACAGTGGGTGATTGAAATGAAACTTAAACGTTACATTAGGTATAATTTTGAAAAACAAATAGGTGAATGACCAAATCGAAACAAA